AACACCAAATTAGTCACAGAATTAGTTACTTAAGTAACAATGATATATGGTACATATCATTATATTAAGATCGGTATATTACAATTTAATATTCAATCTTATCTGCAATTATTTTTAGATCACTTACGTCCCTATGTAACTTGGCCAATTGTATGATGGGCTGAGATCCCCAAGTAAAATACAAATGGGCTATGATAGGTAACACACTATAACATAGGCTTTTACGAGCTAAACCCGCCAAATCATTCTAAGACCAGAACTCGGTTAAACATGCATGTGTCCGGCTTCGACCCAACACCTCGAATGATATGGAACATAGCTTCACAGACTGAATCAACCGAGTCAAGATAACCTCATAGCCGAACCCGCCTCTAGGATCACGCCTGGTGATTGATCCTATGACTACTATTCGACTTACCTCGACTCAGAGTCCCAACTGCATGATCGAGCTTTCGTGATCGAGCTCTTAGGCTCGATCCTCGACTTCCCATGATCGAATTCTCAGGCTCGATCCTCGACCTCGTAACTAATCATGAATTAGTGTAATATTTAAGATATCCGTACAAGAAACAATTGCCTATATATATATTGCGGTTGGTAAGAGACATTTAAGACACATTTATTATCCAAATACTACAATACAATTACTTTTCATTTTCGCCTTCTTCTTTCAAATACTGACTTAACCATTGGAGGGTTTTACGTCGGGAAACCTCCGGCATCCTTTGCAGGTACTTACGAGATTCCACTCAGGCCAGAAACCGGAAAAGGAGGCCGCATCCTTGAACCGAGATCCGTTCTGAACCGGAGCCACCTACAAGGAACCTTATCAGGTTGTGTGCAGCAAAAGGGCCGCGGGATAACAATATGAAGGGGAATTTTTATTTATACTGTATGATTGGAAAATTTGTGAACATACAATGGTAAATTATCTTATTGCATCTGTACCAAATAAATGCCATTTAATTGTACAAAGTCCAGGATTTTAGTTATCAAAACTGAATTGCAACACATCCTCGATTCGCGCTAGACGTTTGGATTTATGATTTCTGTTAAAAAAAATATATTTATAAATGGTAAGTCAATATAACCTACAAAATAGGTGGTTGTTCAATAAAAAATGGAAAGATAATGAATTTGAATTTCAAAAGAGAATTTCCAGTGTATATTTCCTATATATTTTATGTATGTGTTTGTTGTACAACTTTGGTATATACTGTATATACCACAACATGTAAATTTTCATATCTGATGGTAACATATAAATCATGTACATAATTTTATACCCAAAACATATACTGAAAATATACCGTATAGACCTGCAACATGTACAGAATAGAACTAATTATCAACGAATCAATCACACCAAGTATTTGACAATTATCCTCTGAGAAGTTTTTTGTCAAAACGCATTCTGTATACATAATATATACAGAAGATATACAGAAAACATATAAGTCCAGAAAATATACGAAATAACCTGGTAATTTTATCTTTTCGTAATTTTTTTTTTTTTTGTTTCACCATCAGACTTATATACAGAAGAAATACTCATTATATACTCAACATATACATACGATATATTCACTGATTATAAAAGAAACAAATACTAAATAACAATATATTTGTCGGGAACATAGACAGAAGATATAGTAATTGAATACATAGGACATAAAAGAATATACACAACAAATATACAGAAGATAAATCAATCTTTTCATTATATATAAAAAATACACAAAAAAATGCATTAGAGGCTAGGTTTAATTTTGAATCAGATCTCGTTCTCATCGATGCCCATATACATACATATACATATATATATTGCAAAAAGCCCAACGCTATTCGTGCACCTAGGTGAAAGTGGCAGACTTTATATTACGCCGTGTTCGCTTCTTTTGCGGGTGTTGTTCATCGACATCGTTTGAGATATTTGCACCAATAATTTATTTTGCGCTTCTACTACACAATTTCTTCGAGCCACTATGCTTGGATTTAGATTCAAATTGAAGATTCCTCTCGACAAGTTTGTGATCTACCTTAGGTTTAATGTTGCGGATCCGCGAACTTGATCTCGGCTATGATTTCTTTCGACGACGACGGGATGGTCGGTTTTTGTCAGAGAGAAGTAAACGACGAAGGAGAGAGAGTTTGGAGAGAGATAACCAAAAAAAGAGGTAGGAATTCGTGAAGGATATCCCACGTTTAATAAAAATGACAGTTACCGAACAATTAAATATTAAAAAATCACGTATATAAGCAAATATTTTGTGCATATCCTTCAAATTTGCTAAACAAAATTAAGAATTCGTAATTTATTTATACCAACATTACTCCATTTACCGAAATCCACTAGTGCTCGCTTTACATACCTCGTTATATTAGACATATAAGTCTTCATCTATTTATAGTTGTAACAATTGCCCACGCGGCTGTGAACCACAATCGCCAATTGTTCTTGTCGATGAAAATTTATTTGCCTCGCAATGAAACCCTCAATTGCTCTCTTGAACTCCTCGTTGCTCAGTCCCTCCACCTGCCGGCCGCCGTCCGCCGCCGCCACTCGCCGCCGGCGACCACCACAATTATTACAACCTTTGTCTTCCTCCGGTCGACAAACTTCACAGGCTAATTTGGTTTTCACCTCGGAAATAGTTTCCTTGTCTTGGAGAACAATTTTTTCGGAGCGTTGACTGGTACGAGTGAGAGGCGTTGACCGTTCACCTTGGATATTGTTCTTCATGAATTCCGGGCAAAAATTGAAATCAGCGGTAATTAGATGATCAATCATATCATCATTATCGTGTTGATGTAGTTGATTGCGAGACTTGAAGAAGAGGATAAGGACTATTATATTTCCAATTAAAAAGATAAACAGAGGACTAACTACAAAGAGTGCGAGCCGCCGGAAATACTCTCCGGCGAATTTGACGGCGGACGGAAGTCGGACGATGGCCGACGTGAGATAGACGAGGATCACCAGAATTTCTAAAGTGCGCAATAGCTTTTTAATTTTTGGGAATGCGTTTGTATTATTGGCTCTCATTATCGCATTGTGGTCAGTATCAAAAGCATCCATATGTATATATATATATGTGTGTCCGTGCCTATTAATGTTCTAAAATAATAATACTGATTTTCTTTGAAAGTTGAGACCGGAAAAAAGGAAGAAAAAGAAAAGATAAGAAAGGGATAAGAGATATTATAAGATTGGGAAAAAGGGAAATGTGTGCGTGTAGTGCAGCTC